GTGGGATAAAGGGTGGGGGGGGGGAGAGATAGGGCTCTTAGGGTCCCAAATGTTATCGCTGATGGGTCCCCGGCACGTCTCCTGACATTTCGACCGTCTGGGATCGCGTGGAGCTCTCGCCGTCCTGGGTGGCAGGCCTTGTGTGTGCTCAACATACACTTAGATAGTTATATTGTGTGAGGACGTCGTGGTGAAATCAAGCGCTGGTCACAATAATGAAACAGAAGAAACCGGTATTTTCCAGCCAGCTTGGCAATTTAAAAAAAAGTTGAATGTTACTTTTTTAGCTGAATACCTTTTATGTCCATTTAAAAGCACATTTTTGTTTGGTGTTTGCTTAAAAACGTTGGTTAAGGCACACAAAAGTACATTTTCGGTTGCCAAGGACTCTACAGATTTGAAAGTCATCTAACTTTGGCGGCCATTTTCTCGCTAATTCTACCTAAAAAACCAGGCAACCACACCTCGTTCAATCGCAATTACCTCAACTTTTAGGCAAGATACATGGGCATTTTTTCACCAGAAGCAAGACATATGAGCACTAATAACTCCACAAGCACAACAATTTTACGAGCGATTCATTCTACCGCGTCGTGACACATATTCTGTGCAGGGCACTATTGTAGGGCTGTTGAGAATAGAATGGCATCTCGACACGATAGTTGTCATTCAGTGCTGGGAAAAAGTAAGACAGACAGACAGAAACAAAAGTAAGAGAGTAGGACCTATCACTATCAGCGGTGCCCTCCAACAACCCGCACGGGGTATTGTTGTCGGTGGCAAGTTATGAGTGTGCTCAAAACAGGCTTGAATGATTATATTATTATCTTAGACCAGGTACAGTCATGGCTAGCAATTAGGTGGCTGGTTTATGCCCTGTTGTGGTTTGCTCATTCTGTCGAATCAAACATCAATCGCCCTTATTTTCTCCTTCCTTTTTGTATTCGTTACTCCTTGTATTAATTCTCTGACAAGATATATACGACTTACTTGTGTTGCAAGTGCCGTAAAGCCCTGAATAAATCTAAATGAATGGTAAGCTTTGTTCGCTCTCAACACTGACTTAAATTATTATATCCTAGACCAGACACTGTCATGGATTCCCATCTTTGCTCTCTACCCCCCCCCAAAAAAAACAAAAACAACAACACACACACAAAAAAACTTCGATGCGCTGGTGAACATTAGAGGCGCACAAATGAAGGGTAAAACAGTAGTCCGGCTCATAGACTTGACCTATAATGTCCTAGATCGTACACTGTCATGGTTACCCCCCCCCCCCTCTTTGCTCTCTATAACAATACTTCGCTGCATTGGTGAGCACCACGGGCGTGGTGTAAATGAAGGGCAAACACCAATTAGGTTCATTAACTTGAACAAAAATTAAATAATAATCCTATTGTCATCATAAACCGGGCACTGTCATGGAGGCGCCATTCTTTGCTCTCTGTCAAAACCATGGACGCACAAATGAAGTAGTGCAAACCCGAGTCTTAGTCTTGCTGTTGTCGTCAAGTGAGTGAGTGCATAACCTTCCCCTCCTTGACCTTCGATTGGTGCCAAATTGAGTAAAATGTCGCGCCCCATGGTGAACCGGAATTACGTCAGAGTACACAATCTTGGATATTAGAATTGTGTACTCACACAGATGTGAGAGGAGGAGATGTTTTACTCAGATTTACGGGTGATAAAGGAGGGTTGTTATTCCTTGACGAACGTATTTGTTTCGTATTTGGTCTGCGTTTATTTTTGTCGTTTGTTTTCGGGGGTTTTTTCGGGTTGGGGGGAGGGAGTGTCTCTTTTTACATTTATCGAGTGCACCGATAGGAATATGGATGTGTGTGTGTGTGTGTGTGTGTGTGTGTGTGTGTGTGTGTGTGTGTGTGTGTGTGTGTGTGTGTGTGTGTGTGTGTGTGTGTGTGTAAAGTTTAGATGTACAGCTCAGATGTGACATAATTTTAGGCTTTTAAATATATTTAATGAAGGAAACTGAGAAGATGGGTTGGACTGGATTATGTAGAAATATGGTCAAGGAGATATTTGATTTGAGCTAAAGGGAGCGTGAGGCAATGGACGTTTTTGATTCAGAGAGGCTGAGAGTAAGCTGTCGAAATTATCCATGTCTGAGGTATTCATGGAATCTCTCAACACTGTTAATGTGGTGTGCAGCAGTCGGCACTTGAAGCCATTGAAAGAAACGACTATCTTACGAGCGATTAGTCCGTGGTCTAGTGATTAAGGGACTGGACTAGCAATCGTAAAGATTAGCTGAGATAATAGTAGTTGAAAAGCGTATAAAGGAGACCCTATATAAATGCAATTAAAAGGTATTTTGCACAATACCGCGCGGTGCTGGACATAATCTGGGCACCAAACCACAAGTCAGCAGTGGTCACAGTTTTCTGTGCTTGAACGTCCGGGGCAAATTTAGTGAATGCGGGAAGGGGATTATTTGTACTGTGAAATAAGGCCGTCACTAGTCGACCAGATCCGCCCCACCCCGACAAGACACGACACGACACGACACGAAACGATACAACACGACACGACACTACACGAACCCGTCAATGGGCACCTGGTATTTGGGGACGCTCAGTAGCACTTGGAAGATTAAGATTTGGGGAAAACGAGAAAAAAAAAACGCGTTTTAGGACAGGAACCATAATATGGAATATAATCTATCTTATAATAATATTCTTCTATCTCTGTCCCCAACAGTACCCGCCTGCTTCCCTCATATCGACCCCTTTTTGGAGCAAATGGCGGACAACTCCTATTCCTTGCCCATCCCACTTCCTGTCTACATTCGGACAAGATCGCCTTCTGGCTCCGAGAGTTTTGTCAAGCCCAAGAAATGTCGGAGGAGTAGAACCGTCTTCACAGAATTACAGGTCTGTTTGTTTGTGTGTCTGTGTGTTTGTGTGTTCTGTGTGTGTGTGTGTGTTTGTCTCTTCTGATGTTGGTGTGCTAGTGTCTTTTGCTGTTTGTGTGCTTGTGTCTTCTGTTTGAATGTTTGTGTCTTCTATTTGTTTGTTTGTGTTTTCTTATGTTTGTGCGTTTGTCTTCTGTTTGTGTGTTTGTGTCTGTTGTTGTTTGTGTGTTTTGTTGTTTGTGTGTTTGTCTCATTTGTTGTTTCTGTGTTTGTATCTTCCATGTGTATGTTTGTGTCTCCTGTTGTTTGTGTGTTGGTGTGTTCTGTTGTTTGTGTGGTTTCTATATACTCACCAAAAGTGTTTTACTTGATCAGAAATGAATAACGGTAGAAAGCTGAATTTGGTGCAAAAACCATCAACTATCTCTCTAGAAAACATGTACATTTTGGAAGCGCACAGTACGTGAATGCGGGTATGTTGTTCTCCAGTTTCAACAAACATTATGGAGACAACTGAGCTCAGGACAGCAGTGAAGTTTTTGTTCTTGCAAATCAAGCAGCAACATGATATTTTTACGGTGATGCATGTCGTATAATTTGGAACTGATTGCCCATCCTATGCTGTGATAAGACTTTGGTGTAAAACATTCAAATGCTGATTCATGTACATTGAAGATGACCACCGTGATGGTCGCCAAGTGACTGTAATAACAGAAGAGTGTTGAAAATCAAGAAAGTTGTGTTGTCTGATTGGCCGGTGATATTCAAAGGTTTGAGCAAAGAAACTAGGCTTAGCATTGGGTTAGTTGAACAAATCGTAATTGAACATTTGAATACGACCAAGGTTTCTGCGACATGGGTCCCGCGTTTGTTGACTCCTCCTCAAAAAGGGCAACGTGTGGATTGTTGTCAAGAATGGCTTGGTGTATGAATAGGATGAAACTAATTTTTTTTGAAACACTTGTAACCATGGATGAGACATTTGCCCACAACTACGATCCTGAGTCAAAATATGCATTAATGCAACAGAAATCGCCCTCATCTCCAACACCAAAAAGGCAAAGTTGCAGCCATCAAGTGGAAAACTGATGCCATCAGTTTTCTAGGACCAAGAAGAAGTGATTATGACAGGCTATCTTGAGAATGGACATACGACCACCGGAGACCATTATTCTAACCAGCTAAAGAATATGAGAGGCTATAAAAGAAACAAGCAGAGGAAAGATCCAAAAAGGCGTTTTGCTGGCTGCTTCACGACAACGCGCCAGCACACACTTCAAGAAAAGCTGCAGAAACTGAGCGAGAAAGGGGGTATGCAATTTTGCCACATTCCCCCTATTCTCCAGATTTAGCTCCGTCTGACTTTTTAAAAAATTCCCCAAACTGAAAATGATTTAAAAGGAAGGCATTTTGAAAGGGATGATGAGGTCAAAGAAGCACTAGAGAGATTGTTTTCTGACAAAGAGAGGGTGTTCTATTCTCATAGTCTTTTCAAGGTCATACACAGATGGCAATAATGTATAACTGTGGGAAGTGACTACACAGACAAAGGTTAAGGTTAGTACCAAATTTCAGCTTTCTACCTTTATTCCTTTATGGTCAGCTACCAAACTTTTGGTATGCCCCTCGTATATATCTCACTACGACCAAGTTCTCATATTTCTGTGTACTACCGGACACAAAATTTACAAGTGCATAATTTGCAACAACAACATCATCAACGACAACAATAATAGCAACAACAACAAAAACAAAATATGTGTTGTTTGTTTGTTTATTTGAGTAAAGACAAGCACATCCAAAAAAAAAAGAAGAAAAAAGAATGGTCATTTAATGCTGGGAAAAGGTAAAAGAGAAACGACAGAGGGCAAAATAGGAAGTAGGACCTTTATTGGCGCCATCCAACCACCTGAATGATTACTACCGTGTTCTCTGATTTAATATGTGTTATTACTTGACAGACTGAGGAGAGATACGGACAATAAATGTTTGATAGGAAAGAAGGAGCAGACCACACCAGAGTACCAGCCTTTACATCTTATTACGACTGTGTCCTCATATTTCTAATTTGCATAACTGGAATCAGTATTTGCAGGTGCATGAATTATAACAACAGAAACAACAACGACAACAGCAACAACAACAACAACAAAGACAACAACAACAACAACAACAATAATAACAACAACAGCAACCTTTATATCTCTTCCTCCTCCTGCACGTCCCATGTTTCAGAAAACAATTTCATTATTCTGTTTGTTTGTTTGTTTGTTTGTTTGTTTGTTTGTTTGTTTGTTTGTTTGTTTGTTTGTTGGTTTGTTTGTTTTTAACATGCCCTTTGTGTTTTTTTACTGACAGCTGTTGGGTCTGGAGAAGAGATTCGAGGGCCAGAAGTACCTGTCCACTCCCGATAGATTGGACTTAGCTGAATCTCTGGGGCTGTCACAAATACAAGTCAAAACCTGGTACCAGAACAGACGGATGAAGTGGAAGAAACAGGTGTGTATTGGAGGGAGGGGACATTTAGGTTACGTAAGTGTTGTACGGCCTTTTCGACACAATAAGGTCATAATATAAGTGCCGATGATTAGAGGCCTTACAAGGGAGTAACAAACGCAAAACATGGGGATGAGAGATAAGAACAATAGAGTTTTAACAAGAAAGAAGGAGCAAACCACACCAGAGCACCTGCCAAACACCCAGGTAGGGAGAGATGTAGAGGATTTAGTGTAAATGAAAGGGGGGGGG